TGGGATCACGAGAGACTAGGTCACCAGAAGGGTGCTGATGTGCTGATGTGGGATGCCTCAAATCGTTTATATAGACAGAGGCCGCACAAGTGATGTCATACTCTCGAGGCAGAACTGCTGGAGGCATTAGAGCAGCCAGGGCTTCCCTGGTTCTCTGTGCTGGGTTTGGAAGGATGAAAAGGGGTTAACCAGGCATCAGGAGGGAGGGGCGCATCACGGGCAGAGGCTCTGGGAGACAAGGCTATGTGGCCCAGCCTACCCAGGCAGTGAGAGGTGGTGGCAACTGGGAGCCTGGGTACTGCCCCGCCATGTTGAATCTGTGGCCCTGGAGCCTCCGTAGTGTTGGCACTGCCATGCTGCCCTGATGATTTCTGCACAAAAGGGCTGGGCATCCAGTCACTTTCAGCCAGGGGCACCCCACCCTGACTCACTCACCTGAAGGCTGGGGTATGGCTGCTCCCTGGATGGGCAGGGAGGGCATCCTGGGTGAGGCTCTGGCCTGGGCCTGGAGAGGGGCAAGGAGTGCCAGTTAGCTGTGTCTGAGACCCCCAGAACTCTCAGAGCTTGGGGCTCCCAGAGGCCAGGGGTCCAGGCATTAGTTACATAGGTGGGCCTGGACTGGGGGGTGTCCACAAACCCTCAAGGCTCAAGGTCATATGTAAATGTGGCCTCTGCAGATGTGCATCTTTCTGGCAGGAGGTTCTCCTGGGGCCCATGACCCCCCAAATGTCACTATCTGTTTACTACAGCCAGAACACCAAGACCTACCTCTCAACCAAGTTCTCAGATGAAAAGTTCCAAATTCTCAAAACCCACTGGGACCACAGGGTGGTGGGAAGAAGAAAGGAAGGGGCTAATGGGGGCTGAGCAGGCCAAACTCCGTGCCCACTGGGTTTGCTCTGAAAGCCTGCCCTAGAGCATGGGCCTATCCACACAGGGACAAAGGAAGCACTGGGACAAGGCAGAGCTCGAGAGGGCCATGCCCGCTGCTGCTCAGTTTTTCCCATTCCTGCTGTAATTCCACTGGCCTTGGCCTCTGGACACCTTCTCTGCCCAGCAGGCCCTGCAGTGGGGACCTGCATGCCCTGGGCCTATTGAGAATGCCCAAGGGTCCCCAACACCCATCACCTGCAAGGGCAAGACTCCCTTAGTTTCCCTGCGATGATCTTGAAGGCCTCCATCAGGGAGCCAGGCTAACAGGGCCTGGTGGCTTACCTGAATAACTTGGTCCACCTTCAGGTCCTCCAGAGATGGGTACAGGGCAGACATGGTTGCTCCTCAGATCACCCTGCAGAGCACAGAGGGGGAGGAGGGATGAGGACACAGCTCACACCCTCTTGAGAGGGAGCATGGATGTCGCCTCTGCCTGTGTGCACCACACAGCACTCTCACATATGAGCAAGGTGTCAGGAGGCATTACATCTACCTTAGAGATGGGGGAGCTGAGATTTAAACCAATCTGTTTCCCAAGCTCCTGGTCTCCATGCACAAAATTCCACCCTACCATGTTTGACTGACTCTGGGCTTTAGAACACAGGCCCAGGGGACCACCCAGGACATGCTAGCCAGGAATCAAGGATTAGGGGCCACATTGTTCCCTGCCATGTTCCAGAAGTCAGATAGGCTAACAATGTCTGATCATTCAAGACCTAAACTCCATCCAGCAAGTGTGCATTGAGTACCCACTGCATGCCAGGCCTGCATTAGGGGTCTGCACAGCAGTGT